ATTTTTTTTCATTTCATCATCCTGTTATTCATCGATTGCCTCGAGCAGGCCCCAGTAACGTCTCTTTCATCCTAGCCCTGAGATTATATTCAAGGCTCTTTAGGAGAATGAGACCCATCATTGTTACAGGTATTTGGCATATTTGGTACGTCACAGGGAGTTTTCCAGACTCTGCCCTGTGGGCAGGCTACATTCGATAGCCTGCAAGTTTGTCCAAAGTAGGAATGAGATAATAAGATGTCATAAAAAGATGTCCTGATAAGACGTCGCGCGGCCGCGAATGCTGGATTTTATAGTCTCTGAGTCTTGGCCGCTGATCGGATTACACAGCGCCAGGGGGCCAGGTGGTGGGTGTGACCCCCGCCTACTGGGATTTGGAGGATCTGGGTGGAAGATGCTCGACTCCAGTCCGAGTAGGCTTGGAGATCTCGGCCCTGGAACCCGCGTGGCTTTGTCCCTGTGCCAGTACCTTCATGTGTGTGGAGAGTGGTCTCAGCATGGTGGTGGCTGGTCCTGGAGGTCTTCGGCTGCCGGAGCCCTGGTCGGGGCTGGGAGGAAAGCTCAACCCGCTCCCCTCCAAGGGGCCTCGGCGAGGAACAGCCAGGCGCGGGGGCAGAAGACTGCACTGTTCTCGTCCGGGAGCTGGATTTTATAGTCTCTGAGTCTTGGCCGTTGATGGGATTACACGGCGCCAGGGGGCCAGGTGGTGGGTGCGACCCCCGCCTACTGGGATTTGGAGGATCTGGGTGGAAGATGCTTTTTTTAAAAATTTTTAGTGAAACACCATGAGGTACAGTTGTAGATTTACAATTTTTTTGTGCTTGGGTTTCGATTATACAATGATCAAATACCCATCCCTCCACCAGTGCCCATTTTCCACCACCATGAATAATATCCCTCCCACCTCCATCCCTCCCATCTCACCCTGCCTCTGTGAAAGGGCAATTCCTTGTGTTCTCTCTCTCCTTTTGAGTGTTGTGGTCTGCAAAAGCGGCTTTGAGTAGCAAACATGTTCAGTCCATAGTCTACTTTCAACATGCATCTCCCCTCCTGGGTGGATCCTCCAAACACCCTTTATTTGGTTCTCCCTTCTCTATCTGAGCTGCCCTTTCCCCTAGAATGCCCGGCTGGCCTTTAGGCTATGGAGTAATCCTCCTGGTGTTGATTTCAGCTATTCTTGGGTATTAATCTCATATTTTGTTTCTTTATATTCCCCAGATGTATGCAATCTTTCTATGTTTATCCCTGTCTTTCTGACTCATTTCACTTAGCATAATACTTTCCATGTTGTACCACTTGTATATAAATTTCATGACTTCATCTTTTCTAACAGCTACATAGTACTCCATTGTGTAGATGTACCAAAATTTCTTTAACCAGTCATCTGTTCTTGGGCATTCAGGTTTCTTCCAGGTTCTTGCTATTGTAAAGAGTGCTGCAATGAACAAACAAGTGCAGATATCACTTCGACTATACATTTTTGCCTCTCTGGGATATATTCCCAGGAGTGTATTGCTGGGTCAAATGGGAGCTCAATTTCTAATTTTTTGAGAGTCGTCCATACTGTTTTCCAGAAAGGCTGAACCAGTCGACATTCCCGCCAACAGTGAAGGAGTGTCCCTTTCTCGCCACATCCGCGCCAGCATCGGTTGCTTTTGTTGTTTTGAATGTGGGCCAGTCTCTGAGGTGTGAGATGGTATCTCATTGTGGTTTTGATCTGCATCTCCCTGATAATTAATGATGTAGAACATTTTCTCATGTGCTTTTTTGCCATTTGGATTTCTTCTTTGAGAAAGTTTCTGTTCATTTCATTGCCCCATTTTTGGATGGGGTTGGATGTTTTCTTCTTGTGGAGTTCAACCAGTATTTTGTATATCCTTGATATCAACCCCTTGTCAGATGTGTGTTCGGCGAATATCCTTTCCCATTCTGTAGACTGTCTTTGTATTTTGGTCACTGTTTCTTTTGAGGTACAGAAGCTTCGTAGTTTAAGATAGTCCCATTTATCTATCTCTGTTTTCACTTGCTCGGCTAGTGGCGTGGCATCTTTGAAGATACCATTAGCTTCAATGTCATGGAGGGTTTTGCCAACTTTGTCTTCAATGTACCTTATGGTTTTTGGTCTGATGTTGAGGTCTTTAATCCATTTTGATCTTACTTTTGTACATGGTGTTAGGCAGAGTTCTGAGCCCCCTTTTTTGCATGTAGCCGTCCAGTGATGCCAGCACAATTTGTTAAAGAGACTTTACTTACTCCACTTCACATTACTTGCACCTTTATCAAAGATTAGATGATCATATGATTGAGGGGAGACGAATCATTATTTGAGGTGTTGAGTCAGTTGCCTCCAGCACTTTAGCCCTTGTTTAGTTGAAGACCTCCAGGTGAGCATTTGCTCTGTGGTTGCTTCCCCTGGTGCCTGGGAGAGCACTCTAAAGTGATTGCCTCGGGAGAAGCCCCCAGGGTCACTCAGCACTCCAGCCTTTAGTCTCCTCAGGGTCAGACCCACCTCAGGATGGTACGAAGTGCAGGAGGACCTCGGGAAACTCTGAGGCCCCGTCCCCCCACTGCGGCCACTCTCTGACCACGGTGAGCTGCCCGACAGCACTGGGAGACACACTCGGTAGACACGCAGGGTTCCCCGAGCCTCAGAAAAATTCCTGGGATCCCACCATTAGCACCCCCAGACTCGTGAGAGCTCTCTGGGTAGAAGGAGAGTCTGTACTCACTGTTTCTTTTTCTATTTTTATTTGATTTCGGGCGGCAGTTGGCAGTACCAGGGCTTTCTCCTGGCTTTGTGATCAGGGTAACTTGCAGTGGGCTTTAAGATCATGTGTGGTGCTGGGAAGCTTATGTGGGTAGAGCCCATACAGGCAAGTACCCTCCCCACTGCACTGTCTCTTCAACCCAGGGGATTTCCTGTTTGCTCCCTGGACCTGCTCCCCGTTCCCCACTGCACTCTGCATTTCTTTTGCCTTTTTGGGAGAAGGGCTTGAACTATGTTAGCGATGTTCAGGGCTTCAATCTTGCTCTTGCTTAGGGTCACTCACGGTGGGCTCAGGTGCTGGGGATTCAATCTGAGTCAGCTGCAGGAAAGGCAAGCCAAAGCTGTATTATCAATCCTGATCCGCAACAAAAAGATTTTCAACCGCTACTGACATGAACCTCTAATGTTTGTGTTCAGTGTGTGAACACAAACGATTAAGATTTTGTTTGCAGAATGCAGAGGGTGGAAGTTCTTGGCTGCCCTCGGTGCTGAAGGCTTCTGAGGGCCCTTTCCGGGGCTGAGGGGGATCATCTTTGCGTCTGTGCGTGACTGTCATGTTGGGAGGCTGAGAGAGGAGTGAGATCAGTGCTTCATTCCTCTGACACACGCTCAGAGTGAGAGCAAAGGACAGTTAGGCAGTGGGCACCTACAACTTTCATCATCATGAAGAACTACAGTTGTGCCAGCCTTTCTGCTGGACAATCACTGCTGGGGTCCCAAGGGTCCTAAGCACTGCCAGGGAAGACAAAGAAAAAAAGCCCGCCCCCCTTTGTATTCCCTTACAGCAGGGTTATCATCCTTCCATCTGAACGCACTCGCCCCCCCAACCCCCTGTCTAGTCTTCTGGAATCTTTACCCACACCCAGTGGGCTTCCTTCTGAACTGGATTTTCAGTTTTCCTTTGTCTGGTTTTAGGTATCTGGATTCTGCAGAGAAGCTGAACAAGAACATAAATTAGATGAAAGAATGTTTTCCTGCCCTCCTTGACCCTCAGGGGCATGCTGATGTCGGCAACTCTCGCTCTCTCCAAGGTCCTGTATGCACCTGATAGAAAGGTGATGATGACGGCCATCTGACAAATATTTGTCCTGAACACAACATTTAAACTAAAAACTTTGACAGAGTTTTAGTATCCATTTGTGTTAAAATAATGAGATGTTGGTGCGTAGACAACGAAGATAGAAACTGCAGGCAGTGAGCCACATCTATTCAAATGTAAACGTCCGATTCGGGTTGTTAGGCATTCGAATGAATCAATGCTCTTGGCCAAGTTTGTGTTGACAAGGACACCGACGCCTCCAACACCTCTTTTATCGCATGTTCCGAGGAACAATTCTTCTCCAGTGTCGAAAACGGCATGGTGAGATTCGTGCCTTCTTGTCTCGGTCAGACCAATGATGTCGTACTTGATCATTCCCGCTTGTACCATCAGGTCCTCGATGGATGCATCTGATGCTAGCGTACGTGCATTGAAAGTACAGACGATCATTTTTGTCTTCCTTCGTTGTGGCAGCCTAGGTCGGCCTTGAGATTTTGTCGGCCTCTCCTTTCTCATCCTTCTCAGTGCTGCCATGTCGGTGAAGCCTTCAGGGTCAGGTGAATGAGACCAGTTGTAGTTACTGGTTTTGGCATATCGAATACACAGCGGATAGCTTGCCAGGCTCTTCCGTGCGGGCGGAATACTCTCGGTAGCTTGCCAGTCTTTCCGAGAGGTATAGAGGCTTTTGGGGTGACCTCTAATCACCCTTGTAGGTGTTACCATATTTGAACCCTATCAAATATGGTACGACAATTCCAGAAGATGGGTATTTAGTGTCTTATGATGTGTCGCGCAGCCGCTTGCGGCCGCGCGGGTCCAGAAAGCATCCTGGAGTGTGGCGACGGCTGGGTAGTGGAAGTAGTGTCGAGAGTGGAAATCTGCCAGTGGGGTATTTATCTGGGTAGGGTGGGTCTCCTGTGCACAATTCGATCCCTGGGTGGTTGATGGAAGCAGACAGGGCAGGGTAGGGTGGGGCTCCTGATTAGAATCCCTTTGTCACCTGTGGTGGTGGGAGCAAGCAGAGAAGCTCTGTCCCTGGGTCCGCCGAGCCTGGAGTCCAAGGTCTCAGAGAGTTCCACTTATCTTGTTCTGTGGGTCTTCAGTTGTGCGTGGGTCTCGGCCGGAGCTGCCGCGCGGGTCCGGAAAGCGTCCTGGAGTGTGGCGACGGCTTTGAGACAACTTCATAGGCAGCCATAGACATTAAGTGTCTCTTTATCTTTCTGTAAAGTTTGTATCACTAGTCTATAACAGATTGCAATGAGATAGTTCTAGCAGTGAGTGAAGCAAGAAGATAACTGAGTTCTGGAAGAAACATTTATCTGTCTTTAGATCCAAGCTTCTCGATTAACTCCTGAAGCGGTGCCAATTCACGCCTATCAATGAGATTAAATTCCTGAACAAAAAAGATAAAGTGCTTAAAGGAGGTGTTGAGGTGGGCCTCCTCCTGCAGCTGCATCACAGAGTCAAAGTGCTGGTGATAAATATGAGCATAAACCCTAAAGAGACGCTTTAGGATGGTCTTTGCCACAGACATGAAGTTTTTGGGAAACGGGACACCAATCTTAGAAGGAAAAAGAGTTTCATCATCAAGTTGATCCTGAACTCAAGTCATCAAATAGTCAATGTATTTTGGTGCAGAACACTTGATTGGCTTTTTAATATTAGTACCATCTGCCCAGTGATATTCATACCGTGGCCCCGCAGACATGACTGGGCAGCTCGCTTCAGTGCAGAATTCTGTAATGGTTCCATATAGCATGTTGATTTGGTTGAAGAAATCCACAGTGTTAACGGCGATCCATTCATTGAGGTCCTCTCCCTCCGGCAACATAACAGCCTGTCTCAGATTCCCGCTTCCTAGAGTTGCTTCTGCATGTTTCAAGAGTTCATACTGATGAGATCCTTCAGGGATATTCTTCTTTGGTTTGAATGTTTTAGAAGAGCGGCTGCTGAAGAGGAAGCTCATGGTCTACACTCGCAGGGGCGGGGCCGCTAACGCCCCCCCCCCCCCCCCCCCCCCCCCCCCCCCGCCGTCAGGGTCCCGCGAGTGGGCGCGGGAAGCAGCAGCAGCGGCGGCGGCGGCGGCGGCGGCGGCGGCGGCGGCGGCGGTGGCGGCGGAGACACTCGGGTCGCTTCGGCGCTCGGAGCTGCCACACCGGAGTCGCCGCGCCCGCCCACCCGCCTTCGTTGTCTACGCACCAACATCTCATTATGATGAAAGAGAAATCGAGAAGTTCTACATGGAGCTAGAGAAGTTCTATAAAGAAGACCACACCTTCTACAAGATCATTGTGGGTGATTTTAATGCCAAGATAGGACCAAGAAGATCAGCTGAAGAACTTCACATCGGGACCCATGGCCTAGAATGGAACGAACAGGGTGAGAGACTGTCTGAGTTCATCATGTCGACCAAGACCATTCATGGTAACTCACAGTTCCAGAAGGCAGAATCTAAACGATGGACATGGGAGTCTCCCGGTGGACGATTCCACAACGAAATAGACCACATCATATTCAATCGACGGTTTTGCCTGACTGATGTCGCTGTTGTCCCAAAATTTCGAACGGGATCGGACCACCGTCTCCTTCGTGCAAAATTCTACTTCACAGAGCGGGGAGAAAGGGCTGCAAAGTTCAAAAAGAGAACTCCCAGAATGACCACCAACTGGGAACTCTTTGGTACTATTGCGGCAACATGGGAAGATGCCATTGTTGACAACATTGACGAGGAATATGATCGACTGGTTCAGCACCTCCATGAATGTGCGAGGAACGCCAAGAGAGAGATAGCCACAAAAAGTCGCCTATCTTCGAAAACTCTTGAGCTAATTCACCAGCGTGGTTTGGCGCATGCCTCAGGCAACCGCAAGCTAACGTCCGAGCTTGCAAAGCAGTGCAGAGATGCGATCAAGGAAGACCTCAAAGAGAGAAGAGCAGAAGTACTGGTAGATGCGGCAGAAGCCGGGAAAAGTATTCGTAACGCCCGCCTGTCCTTCGCCAACTATAAGACCAAGATGACTGCCCTCCGACGTCCTGATGGATTCATCACATCCTCCAGAACGGCAATGGAGAAGATTATCCATGACTTCTACTCAAATCTCTTCGATAGCCATGTCCACTTGCCGACATACCAAATTCCACAGGATGGGTATGTCGTTCCTAACGTTCTCCCTTCCGAAATCCGACACGCCATTTCGTTGGTAAAGAAGCAAGCAGCACCCGGCCCAGACAAGGTCAGACCTGAACACCTAAAGAACCTGCCGTCAGTACTCATCAATACACTGGCTCGGCTCTTCACTCGCTACCTGTCTGAATGCAAGGTTCCGTCCCAATGGAAAACCAGCAGGACCGTACTACTGTTCAAGAAGGGAGACATCCATGACATTGGCAACTATCGCCCGATCTGCTTATTGTCTGTCATCTACAAGCTGTTCACTCGAGTCATCCTGAATAGGATTGGCAGAACACTAGATGAAGGACAACCATGCGAGCAAGCAGGGTTCCGCAAAGGATTCAGCACCATCAACCATATCCACACGGTAACCAAGCTCATTGAGGTTTCTCGGGAGTTCAAGATGCCGCTCTGCTTAACGTTCATTGATTTAAACAAGGCCTTTGATTCTGTTGAGACGGAAGCGGTCATTGAAGCCCTAGCCAATCAGGGCATTCAAGCCCAATACATCAGGATCCTCCGTGAGCTGTATTGCGGATTCACTACCAGGATCTCACCATTCTACAAAGAAGTGATCGTTGATGTCAAGAGAGGGGTGCGGCAGGGTGATACCATTTCACCGAAACTCTTCATTGCCACCCTCGAGAACATCATGCGACAACTGGAATGGGAAGGAATGGGAGTGAAGATAGATGGTCGGCAACTACACCACCTCCGCTTTGCTGATGACATTGTTTTAATAACACCAAACATCAGCCAAGCGGCACAAATGCTGGCCGACTTTGACCGTGAGTGTGGAAAGGTAGGACTACAGCTGAATCTTACGAAGACAATGTTTATGAGAAACAGCCTTGTTCCTGACGCCCCATTCGCTCTCAATGGAACGACCATCTCCGAATGCAACAGCTATGTGTACCTAGGTCGAGAGGTCAACATGACAAATGACCTGGCACTCGAGCTGCGCAGGAGGAAGAGAGCGGCTTGGAACGCCTTCAAGAACGTCGAAGAAATAGCTAAGAGGACGAAGAACCTCCGGCTCCGGGCACATCTCTTTGATTCCACTGTTCTTCCTGCATTAACATATGCCTCAGAGACCTGGGCCCTACGCAAACAAGATGAGAACGCCATTCAGGTCTCCCAAAGAAGAATAGAAAGAGCTATGCTTGGAATATCACGTTTCACTCAAATGAGAGAACGAATCCGGAGTTCTGACATCCGCCGACGATCAAGGATCAGGGACGCTGTCTCATATGCCAAGGTGTCGAAAATCAGATGGGCTGGTCACGTAATGAGATTTAAAGACGACCGTTGGACTAGAGCTGTTACTGATTGGATTCCACGGGATGTCAAGAGACCGTGTGGCCGCCCACCTACCAGATGGTCAGACTTCTTTGTCAAGATCATGAACGATTGGTTTGAGGCCCTCCACGTTCCCGGAGCGAAGAGATGCCATTGGGCTACACTAGCACGCGACAGGGACAAATGGAGACGTTACTGGCGCCCGCTCGAGCAAATCGACGACTAACGGGAAGTTAAGTGATTAAGTGAAGTGATTGTGTTAAAATGTATGTTCAAAACCTGAATTGTTCAAATAAATATTATAATACAAAAAGTCAGATGTGTATTTTGGTAGTCATATAATTTGACAATTCTGTGTATGCAAAGAACTTTACAGCAGCATTATGCAACTTGGAATGCCAATTTCAAAAGTGACTAATGCAGCTATTACTGCAATGGCTCAAATACTCCCACCCTCATGAGTATTGGCCCTGCATTTGTCCATACTGAGAAGAAGTCACAGCCTCTGTCAGATGCAGGTGAGGACAAATGTGGGTTTCCATGTTGGACTCAGGCCTTATCCTCTTGCCGCAGTGCTTCAAGCATCTGTGCTCCCCCTCTGTGAGCTGTGTCTGAGAGAAGGAGCTGTCACCTGCAAGACAGCTTCAGTGCCAGGGGCTGGATGGGTGGGTTGTTCTCATTTCTCCAAAGGGACAGGTGGGTCAGGAGGCAGAAGTGGGACCCCGAGAGCCTGAGAGTGTGGGTGGAACACAGAGGTACCCTCGATCATCGCCCAGTGCTGTCTTTCTGAGCTTCTCAAATCTCCTGATGTAAGCCTGGGCCGGTCAGCAGGAGCCGAACTCCGGGAACCTGCAGGGATCCTGTGTGGTTCCTCACGAGTCCGGGAAAGGGAGCAGGGGATATCGGGCCAGTCTGGAGCCAGAGAGACACTCCAGGGTGAGGTGTGACCTGCATGCCACTGACCTCGTGGCCTTTAACTTTGACTACCTGTGTCCATTCCACTATTTCTCTCATGTCCTTCTGCACGTTATTGGATGTCCATTCCATGTTTCCTTGAGCTTATTGAACCCCTCCCCGTTTTGTCTCTGAATTCACTCTACAACAGAGAGATTTGATGTGGGTTTCCTTGTTGAGGCTTCAGGCCCTATCTTTAGCTATTCCTCATGGTGTGGTTCTGCAATGTTTGCTGTGGTGGTCTCGAGATTGTCCTTCCATTATGCTCTCAGTGTCCCCCCTCCACGGCTATGAAAGACTTTGAGGGGTGTCAGTGGGTTGGGGGCCCTTCTCTCCCCTCGAGGATATCCTCTTCCTCTTTGGTGCTCCTGTGTGGCTGGTGCGGGGACGTTTGTGCTGATTCAGGGGACGTGTTCTTCATCCTGACTTCTTGATATTTTTCGGTTGGGATCTACTGAAGTTTTGTACTTTTTTATATTTAATATTTTTGTGGGGTTTGGGGGAACGTTGACTGGTGTAGGGTCTAATGTGGTGTCTGTGAGAATTCAATCTCAGAGGCTAAGACATGGATGCTGTGGCACGTGGAAGGGGAGACTAGCTGGCAATTAGATGACAACTGACATCTCCATTAGAAAGTTGGAGTCTAATTTAATTGGCAGAATTTTGGTGTCTTTTGGTAGTTTGCATGCAATTTTCTGCTTGACTTGAATTCTAAATCTACCTTTGAACATGGAACTTTAACAAGTTGTATGTGTTCTTGGTAAAGTGGAGTTTGACACCCAAAGGCTTCTTTCTACTAGAAAAGTTTTACAAGTACATACATACTGGAGCGCACATTTCCAAGTCATTATTTAAAGTGTTCGTGAGTCTAATGCCTTTAGCACTTGAGGCTTTGCTTAGTGTTTGGCCTTCCGTGTGTGCATTAGCTCTGTGGTTGCTTCCCCTTGTGCCTGGGAGAACAATCTGCAGTGATTGCCTCGGGAGAAGCCCCCGGGCCCACCCAGCACTGCTGTCTCTAGTCTCCTCCGGGTCAGACCCACCTCACGATGATGCTAAGTGCAAGAGGATCTCGGGAACCTTGAGAACCCGAACTTTGGCTGCGGCCACTCCCTGACCACAGTGAGATGCACGACAGCACTGGAAAACACACTTGGGAGACACCCAGGGGTCCCTAAATGCAGGGGGCCCCGGTAACCACTCTCCGGCCCCGGAGGTGGCCTGAGGATTGATCCGATGGTGCAAGGAGGGACCAACCAATGAACACGAGACACAAGAGACAGAGTACAGTTTAGAAACAGAGAGAAAAAGGAACAGGCTTTATTGAGGGATACAGGCTGTTTATATAGGGGCCGGGGGCAGCTCAGTCAGGAGCAGAAGCAATATAACCATATATGGTAAGGTCAGCAACAAGAGCTTTACCTAACATTCAAGGTAGACATTTGTATATCAAAGGGTCTTATGGCAGTAGATGCATCCTGAGCTTTACATTTGTATATCAAAGGGTCTTAGGGCACTAGGTGCATCCTGGAGGTTACTATAGATAAGGCCAGATAAGATAACTGTCAGCCTGATGTTATTTG